TTTATATAGCCACCACCAACCCAAGTTGCTGTGCAGAAGGAAGGAAGAAACATAATAGCAATATCAGTAATTGTTTCATCACACGGCAGCTAGGCATCCATTAGGCATCAACCCAATTTTAATTAACCGTAAGCTCTTGAACGTCACCCACTCCACTCACCGGTCATTGTGAATATGCCAACAAAAAGGCCAATGGAACGTCCTGCTAGCATCACCTCCTCTTCGGAATCATTGCCGGCCGCCTTCTTACGTCCCGCCCATATGCCAACGATTAGGATTAGCAGATAGAAGAGCACAATGCTCACAACACCAGCGATGTTAATCATTTTTGCAGTAGGTTGCGGTTCCTTGAAACGTGTACAATCACAAAATTATTATATCAATCGGAATGTTTTAATTTAGTTGGAGTATTGATCTCTTGTATGACTGCGAATTGACCTTGTCCGAGCTCAAGTCCGCTTTTGTTTTATTTAGCTGCCATTGCGTTTGACATGGCTGAAAAGGAAGCTAATTGAAAAGAAATTATGAAAGTGCAAAATAGCAATGCATATATGTACAATATTTTAGAATAACATAAAATAATATATAATATATATAATTGGTAGAATGTATTATATATTTATTGAGAAAACAGACGAAATTTCGAATTTGAGGACGTTCTGTTTTTTCTTAGATCCCGCCCGTAGTGCAAATTCTGTGCGATTATGTAACTTGCTTCTGCTAAACTATCATATAACTCAATATTATCTATTCTTCTACAGAAATGACAAGAATCTTATCCTTTCTCGCTATCCCACCTCTTTATTTTAGTAAGCCAGCAAAAAAAATAAGGTAATTGCTTCTTGTGTTATAAATGAACATTTCTTGACTAGTTCAGGGATATTTCAAGACCATTTCGGGACTAGTTCGGGACCGTTTCCGGGCCGGTTCAGGAGCATTTTGGGATAAGTACACGACTATTTGAGAAGAATTTTTGGTCTGGTTCTAAAGGATACGCTGCAGACCCACTTAGGAGCTAGCTGGGAATAATCTCAAATTGCTGCCCACTGGCGGAAGTCAAAGGGAATAAGACAATCAATGAGATGCATAACTCTTTCCAGGAGGAACTCCGAAAGACACCTGGAACTTAGAACTCTTATTGGCTACCTGACAGCACACTGCAACCGTTTGAATTAAATGAGTCTTTCTATAGAGAATGACTGTAGGTTTTGCGGGCTGGTGAAGGAAACCCCGGAGTACATTCTATGTGCCTGTACAAGAAGCATGAATCGTAGATTGATTCACCTTGAAGAATGGTTGTCTTCACCATCTAAACTTGGGAACATGACATCATTCAAAGTGCTGAGCTTTTTAAATAGCCGAAGTTTGGAGGGATTACAATTAGGATTTAGCACAATACGTATATTTTCTTAGGTCGCAGCGCGGGTATCTCCGACGTAATAATAATAATATCGTCACTATACACGAATAAAGACGCTCGGGCGTTTTGACGGCGAAAAAGGACGCGTGAAATAAATTTGAGAAAAGCTAATTCCATCTCTCTCTATATTGCCGATTTAAATATGGTCAGTGGTGTGGGGTAGGGGTGTTTTCTGCAAAGCATATCAAAATAGCACCCGCAGATCCGTCTATAGGGGAGGGGTCGGGGGCGTTTCCCTGCCCCTTTTTTGAGTTGGCTTCTTATCAAACAATGGCAAATAGTAATAAGATTACTAAAGAATCCCGATTTGTTTGCAGAGTGCTTTGGTCTTGATAGGCAACTGCTCAGAAACATCAACATTTTTTTTAGAATGTTTACCATGTTATTATCCATTTTAAGGCGTTTTCCATCGGTGCTGCTGAAATCTACATCAAAACCTACGAATGGTATCCAAATAATCCGCAACATTTTAGTACACGGCATGAGTGAATAAGGTACAGTCCTCTGCCAGTAGCACTGAAGAATGAAATAAAGACTATAAAAATGACAGACTTCCACCCAGCAGAAAATTCAGTAGATCTGCGAACTGGTCAGATGTTTTTTATAGAGCAACGGATTCGACAAAACCCGTTAGAGTCAAGCTAGAATGTAAACGTACTCCTCGATGTGGAATTTACAGACAAAGAAGAAATACTTAAAAAATATACATACAAACACAAATAAAAATAAATTAAATATACAAAATTTAAGAAATGAAAAGAAGTAAAAAATAAGTCCATATATAGCCCTGCAGCCTCCACGTGGTGGATTCTGGATAATGTATTTGTCGTAGGCTAACTGCAGGCGTCACAGTAAAACTTTTAATTCGTTATAAATACACTGCGGTTGTTTACACCCCTATTCTAACAAAGTAACAAAACTCAGCGCATGATTATTGTGATTTCTACTGCGCTCGAAAATATGCCACAAAAATTAGATATTAAGTGCTAAGGAAATGCACGCAAATTTAAACATATTTTTTTGTAGCGGCATATTTGTCATAGCAGCATACTTTGAAGCGCAGTAGAAATCACAATAGTGATGCGCTGAGTTTTGTGAGTTTTGTTAGAATAGAGGGGTTATGCCGAAAGCGAAGCCTAAAAACATTGACCACTTAACTGCATATAAAAACTATAAGCAAAATGTGGAACGTTTTAGAAATCTATATACATTTTGTTTATAGTTATGTGGCACATATTTTTAAAAACTCTTTTTCATCAGGTATTATACAAATTAAGTTAAAATTGCATAAAAACTGAGCAATTGCTTTTTCTTAAAATTTCATACCGTTCACTTGAATTTATGTGAACAAATTGAGTAAAAGGTCTGAAATTTTAGGAATAAGCATTTGCTTAGGTTTTATGCATACGCCCCAATTTACTTGGTTAATCTCTATTTAGTAAAAATAGGTCGGGTGCCAAAAATTTTAAGAATTTTAAGTTTCATATAACTTCCCGTACGCTTAGGGGCCAGTACTTATAAAATTGAGATTACCTGAATTCGACAGATTAGCATTCTTTTGAAAAAATTAAGTTTATAAAGGTATGTATATAACCACCTTTACAAAGAGGCGGAATGTGAATCAATTTATTTGAATCCTGGGCCAAATGTTCATTTATTTATATGTAATTAGATAGTGTAGGCGATTCAATCAATTGCATAATTTTATTTCGGGTAATTTTCGACATTTATTCCCTTCCCCTTAGAAATGAAACCATCGATTGCGTTATATGTAACGAAACAAAGCGAGAATGTTCGAATGGTCAGGTTTCCCTAACTAAACTAAATACATTAATCACGCCTCACAAATCTTATCTCCGACAAAAGCTTCGGGATTTTACCTAAGGTGATTTTAGAAACGATTAGTTAAATCAAAAGTTGATTGCCTTCCCAACTTCATTGGAAGCGATTAGTTGAAAGGCCGTTCACACCAGGCGATTGTTACTTTCAATTAAAAATTTGTCTGTCAAATCGCCTTATGCGGAATCTTTCCTAATATATGCTTTAAAAAGCTTATTTTGCATATTTTTGGCAGTTTTGTTGATTTTTGCATATATTCGACTTGCTGACTTGCGTGCATATTTTTGCATATTTGGCAAGGTTTCATACATTTTCGGCGGAAAAGAAACGATAGATTCGTGAAACAAGGCGCATTGTTTTTTATAATCGTGCTACCACCTTGTACGAATTCGCTTTGATACAATGCAAGAATACATACATACATACATGAAGAATCCGAATAGATTTGGCGCTCATTAAGGCAAATTTGGTAGTTTGATAGTAGGTATAAGAAAGTTTCAAACAAAATATGGCTATTCGCGATTCGGTGTATAAGAGCTGACAAATTTATGCAATTGCAGAAATATGCCATGGATTGTGAGCGACCTTTATTAAACTGTCATGGCAAAGCTTTTGCAAAACAATTTTTGTGCATCAGCTTTGGTTTTGTTTATGAATGCAATGCATAGCATTTTTATGCTATGGATTTTCGGTATTGCAAATTTGCCAAGCCATGACAAATGCAAATGCGTGTATTTTGTTTGTGTATTGCAAATAATTTGCAATACAAATTTGCAATGCAATGATGCTAGGCCATTTGCACCGGATCGCGAATAGCCCTAATGTTTGACATTAAAAGACAGTTTGGAAATTTATGACAACTGTGAAAGAGCACTCAACTGGCAGTGAACACAAACACGTATATTAAAAAAAAAAAAAAAAAAACCTTTTAAGTATATTGGCCAGAGGCCCTGGCTATACGACATTTGCTTATACTAGAGATATATTATTTACTGGCTCCGCAACTAGAATGAAGATCTATCGAAGTACTCCCCAGCAGAATTAAGTTTATTTAAATTTTTTTCTCTTAATAAATAATAATAAAAAAAAATATCTACGGATGTGCAAAGGAGTTTTTGAATTTTTTAACGACCAGAGAAGATCATTTTTCAATTGACAATTTAAAAAAGATTGCAAAGATTTAATTTTAGGCGCTTTAAAAATGCACAACCAATTTAACAAATACAGACAAAACTTAGCGGCATAATTTTAGGCGCAAATCCATTGACAAACAGTCAAGGTTGATTATCTGTCAAGTGCATAGAATTGGGGGAAAACCTCATTGATTTAGCATATTTAAGAGCATATTTTGGTGATTTATCGAGCTTTTTATATTTGGCAGCCCTGCTGATTACGCATGAAATCTGTTACTTTTTCATGTTGTATACTTTTAGACACCACTGTATTCCATTTAGAGAATTTTCGTGACGAAAATTTAGCGTAGCGTTTGCGATATTCCCACTGCTGGTCAGAGATATATAAAAACATTCTAAAGCGGTCGCCCCAGCGCAAACAATAGCAAACCTTCGAGCCTGATTTTGCCATGAAAAAGCTTTTCATAAAAAAAAACTAAAAGCATCAGTGCGCAGAGGAGGCATAAAACTGCAGACGTCTCTCGACACCTAACACAAATTAAAGGAGAAACTCGGTCCAACTTCGCATTTTACTCTACCTACCGTTATATTCAAACAAACAAGTTTACAAGCATTTCCAATGCCATCCATAAAACGTATTCCAAATTTCAGCTGCAAACGTACAAAAAACGAGAGCGGAAAAGACACACGCATGCTCAAATAAATCGAGCCAATTCATTCACAAATACTTTTTACTGGAAATTTGGAGCGGCAAACAAACAAAAATAAAACTAAACACAGCACATACTCATTTCATTTCAAAAGCATACTTATAGGCAATGGAGCACGGCTGGAAAGTGACGACAGGAAGAGGTCGAACGAGGTGCGTGAATAGAGAGAGAAAAAGAGCACCAGAGATGTAGACACAGCTAAAGGAGGTAGCCAAACTTAAAAAAAAAACAAAGCGCACAGATGAGATACATACATATGCACGTAAGTAGAACTTCCTTCGTGTGCATTGTTTGCTTTTCTGATTAATGATTCAAAAGACTTGTACAGATAACAACTGACTCAAAAGAATTTGCGTTGTATTAAAAAAAAAACATTATGCAATACGAAAATCGGAATGCAATAAAATCCAAATCTGAAAAAACTGCGAACTTTGTATATGACTACTTAGGTATATATAAATACATATGTATGTACATATATAAGAAAATTTTACGTAAAATTTTTTACAGCTTAGTAAAAGTTACGAAACTTTCTTCAGTTTTGAAAGAATATGCTTATTTTTAATCTAGAAAATATGCACATATACACATACATACATAAATAAATTTTTACTTAATAACTGTTTCACACCTTTCGAGCTTAAACGCTTCAAATTTGTTCGATGTCTGCTACTTTGATTTTTAAAATTTGACGATTTTACTGGAGTTAAGACTGGACGTGAGACGTTTCAGCCACTTATATAACTACTGCTTTGTCGCTGGAGTTATGAATTTTTTGGATTAGTTATTTTTGTAAGTAAAAGCCGCGCACACGAAATTTTCTTTTATAGTAGACAGCAGCTATCGCCCCAGCGTAGGGACGTCTTTTGAGACGGACTATTTCGCGTTTTAAAATGTAGCCCGCACATGTGCTCGAACAATTCTCGATTCACGAAACGCTCGCATCAAAACGTTGGATATTCGTTCGTTCGTTTTCTATAAATCGAGTTGAAGTAAGTTTCAATTTTCGTCCGCGTTATATAATGTTCGTTTCAAGTTTAAGATTTTTTCTCGTTTCCACTAGTTTAGAGCTTGTGCGCGTATTAATTGCCAATAGAATAAATAGACGATCGCAAACCGAAAATCAACACCAACCATCTATTCGCACCACTGCATTTACACACACACACACTGCAAAATACACAGCCAAAAATATTTAACGCTCTTTTCAGTGTCCGCCACTTGGGTGACAACACTCATTGACAGGTAGGTGAGCAGTTGTGGGGATCAGGTAAGTACGCCTAAATGTATGCTTTGATTGGCGCTCGACTACTCTAACGGCTTTTGCTTAACATCCGTCTAATATGTAAGTGCACTGGCCCTCAACATGATGATTTTTTTTATAATTTTTGAGTATTTTACAAAATTTTTTTTTAATTAAGAATGAGCTCAGAACTGTATGTATTTTTTTATTTTTTATTTTATAGCAGTCATCACAAACCGGCGCTTAAGTCCGTGCGTACGTATCGGTGGCAAATTTGTAACTGATTGCCTACGCCTGGAAATTTCCTGTGACGGCATTTTATTGTACAATGCATTTTCTATGTGTACATTTGTGATAGACAGAGCCCCTGATTCATTTGTGGAAGTGGTCGAAATTTTTGAACGATTGGAATGTAGGGGAACATATGTAAACATATGTATGTACAGTAGCGTGGAAACGTTGGAAGTGTAACTAAATTTGTATAAAAAAACACATACATATGTATATATGTACACTGCCGGAACAAAGTATTGGCACAGCAAATTATTTGCAATATATGCAACAATTTTTTTTCTAATATTTTTCCCCCAATTTTGTATAAAAATATGGTTCATTCAACAACAAAAAACATAAAAATATAATTTCTAAACTTTGTGCAAAACTCGCGAAATTTTCTGCAAATTTTCATCAAATTTTTCAACTTTATAATCAGATTTTTTAGAATTTTTTTGAGTATGCAGTTTTGAGACCACTAAATTCTAGTAAATAAATGGTGTTTTGCATTTTTTCCATATAAAGAATTTTCGAAAAAACTTGTTTGTATGGAAGAGACTGCATGAAAAAAATATTGCCAAAAATCAACGGTCATTCCTAGCTACTTATAACTTGCACTTTATTATTATGAAATTGATTGGGCTACAAATCTGCATACTCAAAAAAATTCTAAAAAATCTGATTAAAAAGTTGAAAATTTTCATGAAAATTTTGCTGAATTTTCGCGAGCTTTGCACAAAATTTAGGAATTATGTTGTTATGATTTTTTTTTTGTAGAATGAACAAAATGTGAATGTGAAAAATTTCAACAACTCCCCAGGAAAAATGCCCAGTCCTTCTCAGTAGACTTGTATGTTTTGAATACTTTTTAGAGAATAAGCTGATTTACAAGCACTCCGTGCCAATGTTTTACAATTACAATTTGAATACAATAGGCCGTATGAATAAAACTTAACCAATTGGTTTTTCTTGAAATTTCAGACCTTGTACTGAATTTGTTCAAATAAACTTAAGTGGAAGGTATGAAATTTTGGAAAAAGCAATTGCTTAGTTTTTATGAGACAGCAAGTTGACCACGGTGGAGAGAATACACAAGGTTGCGCCGATGGCAATACCGCTAATCGGCTCTCAGTGAATTTGACAGAATCAGCTGTTTTGCTGACGTCACAGTCGAGTTGACAGCAGTAGTGATGTGCTGAGTCAATACTTTTAAGTATCCAATACTGTCGATACTCGGTATCGAAACACTTCGGTTTCGAATAAATGCGCACATAGGCCAAAAGTATGGAAAAAACAGTTCAGGGGAGACCCACCTTTCAAAATCCGAATGTAGGAGCCAATAGAGTTTTTAATACTGACTCAAATGAAATATGTATATATGTATGTCGTTTCGAGAAAATATTACAGAGAAACTCTTACTTGTTTGAAGCATTTTTGTTCCAGCTGAATCGGACGATATCATTTTTGTAGGCAGATTCTGTATCCAGTTAGCGACAGATTCTGTAACCAGTTAGCGACAATTTTCGAATCGGTATCGGTTTTGTTGACGTATGATATGAAATATGTTTATGACAACAAGTACGATATCACTAACTGTGATATGAATTTTTGCAGTGTTAAAAAATAGTTGGTTGTCGTTTCAAGTTCTCTAAACATTTATTTAAGCTTTTAAAGTTTGGCCGGTTGTTCAATGTCTGGTTATCACTACTTGCCGGTTAGACATCATTATCGACGATTTCGACATCATGCGTGTCATGCATGCATGTGATCGATAAAGCAGTCGTTGTATCTAACCGGAGCTTCTACCTCCGATTTGTTCTAATCAGACATTGAACAACCGGCCCTAAAACGGGTTCTCCCTTGAAATAAAAAAAAAATTGCACGCGAATTCAACAACGATATGAGAGATGTCATATCTCAATTTATGATCCGCTCTTTTTGGTTTGTGCCACTGATAATATGGCAGTACGCAACAATGATAGAATACCAGATTGCGCCAATCGAGCTGAGAACAACCGGGCGTGACGATTCTTGATTCTTGATGCATATACTATGTGATCGATAAAGCAGTCGTTTTATTTAACCAGAGCTTCTACCTTCGATTAGTACTAATCAGTCAATGAACAACCGACCCTAAGGGCCGGTTACTCAATGTCTGGTTAACACTAATCTACGGTTAAACATTTTATTGACGTCTTCGGCTCCATGCATACAACAGGGAGTCGGTAACATCGGTGGTTTGGCGGGAAATTTTGCCCCTTATTCTAATTACCTTAAACGAGCAATTTTTGTGTATATGTATATGTATACTTTTTACAGAAAATAACATGGCGCCGAAATTACAAACGTCAGCCAGAAAATTACTTTTTTCTTTTGCTCCATCTTGTCAGATCTTGTGTAGTTGGATCATGGGTTACAAGAGAGTACAGAATGCGAAAAAGGTTTAAAAATTGACATACACTTTAATTACCGGTTACAAAATTTATGTTACCAGCGCAGAATAGACCTGTTAAGGGGCCGTGTACATAAGACTTTCCTCGCTTTGCTTGACAGTTCGAACTTTGACAACAAAGCGTGAAGCGTAGAACGTATGCTGCAATAAACGCTTTGACAGCTTCTGCGTTCTCCTTTTCCTCCATATTTTATCTATGTAAAATATATAACAATACAATATGCATTAATAACAGCAATACGAATTCCTATTTACCTTATTTTTGTCATTAAATGCAAATGCAAGCGCACGCGAAAAGATAAATGCGGACAGCTGATTGCCAAGGCGCGCAAAAGTTGAGAGTTGCCCATGATTTTGCTTCGCTTTGTTTTCCTCGCATTCTATTTAGCAAGACTCATATAAAATCATGTATTGAACTTATCAGTCAAAACGAAATTATGAAGCAAAGCGAAGCAAAAGTCTTATGTAAACGGCCCTTAACAGTGTGAACAAAATCTACAACTATCGATAGTGCTAAGAAAAAGTCTATAGTAGCGTAATATGAAACCATCGATGCTATCGATAGTTCTCCATCACTATTATTCAAGGTAAATTGACAATCAGCTGTTAGTGGTAACATTTGCTATTCGATATGCTTATTGTTTTATTCACGAAACTTTTTTTAAAAATTGCTTTTGTTAAGTGCTTCAACAACAGAATAGTAAAATATCCTAAGTTATTTAACAAGAATAGCATACTATACTGGACCTTTAATAACATAATCAAAAAGTAATTAGATTCATAGGAAAGCGCTGAAATGGACGACTTTAAAATCCCGCAGTTGCCGCCACCGGCAGTTATTAAACAAAGCGGGGATTCAGAGCTGAAACCTGAGCATCCCAATAAAGTCGAAGAGTCAATAAAAACAGTTCAAATGCCGACCCCCAGCGGTTCAGCACCAGTTTGTCCTTACAAAGTTCCACCATGGTCACAGCCGCCTCCTGGTTCTATCAACTACAAATTTGAGATTTTAAAGTCAGGTCAAATTATAGATGAAATTAAGAACTTACAAACAAAGGCTGTGTGGAAGTTCGGTCGGTTAGCACCACCTGCCAATGATCTCGAACTAGCACATCCAACCATTTCCCGCTTTCATGCAATTCTACAATATCGACCGGGAAAACGAAGTACGCAAACCGGTGAAGAAAATTCAGATAAGCCTACAGATGATCCGCCAGAGGGCTGGTATATTTACGATCTAAATAGCACACATGGAACATTTTTGAACAAACAACGTATACCACCTCAGGTGTTTATACGAATACGTGTTGGTCACATGTTGCGACTGGGTGCTAGCACTCGTTCCTACATTCTGCATGGCCCGGCAGAAGATGAGGAACCGGAATCAGATTTAACCGTAACGGAATTGCGAGAGCAACACAGGCAAAAGCTACTTGAAACTGCAGCTGAAGCGGTACGGAAAGCCACAGAAGCAGAGGAACGTGAACGAAATGAAGGAATCAATTGGGGCATGGGGGAAGATGCAGATGAAGAAACTGATTTGTCTCACAATCCATTTGCTAGCACAAACAACGAAGAATTATTTCTGGATGATCCTAAGAAAACTCTACGAGGATATTTTGAGCGCGAAGGTCTACAATTAGAGTACAAGTGCGACGAAATGTCTGCAGGATCATTTGTTTGTCGCGTAGAATTACCAATAGGAGATGCATATGGCCGAGCCATAGTAGCTGAGGTGGTGCATAAAGGACGAAAAAAGGAGTGTGTAGTGCAATGTGCACTGGAAGCTTGTCGCATACTCGACCGACATGGCGTTTTGCGCCAAGCAAATCAAGGTAGAAAGCACTAATTGATTACATAACTAAATATTTAATTATTTAAACATTCAAATTTCAGAACCATTAAAAAAGAAGGTAAAATTACAATCCGATTCTGACGAAGACGACTTTCTGGACCGAACAGGAGATGTAGAAAGAAAGAAGCAACGCAAATCGCACCCTTCTACAAACAATGCACTAACATACGAAGATTTGGTAAGAAATAGCATCTATTCATTTTGGTTACAAATATTGAAGTCTTTTTACTCTTTTTTAGCTTAAAAAAGATTCGGAAATTGAGGAACAACTTCAGCGAGTGGAGTACGATATATCACGATATCAAGAAACCCAACGACGTCTAAAGGCATCCCAATCTAATAATACTGATGACTTAGATCACTTTATGGAAAACCTAAAGGATGACAACCTTCTAGATAAAACGGAAATACGCAAATTAAGGGTTCGTAGTCTGCCATGCATCTTTCATGATACTTCTTCTTAAATAAGTATATAGCATTCATTTTTACCTGTTTTTTTTCCTTCAGTTGGAGCAACAACGACTCATTGGTGAAAAACAAAAAATCCAACGGTTAATAAAAATTGCGAAACCAATAGATTTGTTATTCGAAAAGTCAACGGAAAAGAAAAATTCAACGAAAATTAGACAGCTGCCAATGATTGGTAAGCGCAATCAGTTTAGCAAATTCAAAATAGCCCCGATGGTCAAAACAAACCAAATCAAGGAAAAAGTAACCCATACAGACTTAGCCTCCGATGAGGAAGAAATAGAGGATGATGAAGAACATTTAACATCGATTCCAAAAAAATCCTCTATTTCTGTAGATGAAAGTGAAAGTAAAACAAAACCAGAAAATAGGGCTGAAGATTATGTTGAAACATCCCCCAACTCCAAGGAGAGTACAAAAAAGGTATACGGGCCTGCTGTGGTACCGCGTGAATTGTTAGACGGCGATGGTCTAGTTACTCCAGCAGAAGACTCCCTAAAGCCACAAGGTGCCATGCAGTCAACGGAAAGTACCTGCGGTATTGCGGACACTGAAGCGGAGAGTGCGAAAAAAAAGCGAAGGCAACGGCAACGACAACGACAAAAACGGCTAGAAAGTGATATAGACGAGCTGGAGGAACACGAATCCAGTGATAAGTATGCGAAGTGGGTACCACCACCCAATCAAAGTGGTGATGGATACACAGAATTGAATGAAAAATATGGATACTAAACCACGATTATCTGATTGTATAACATTTACAAAATATATTACTTTTCGCAATTCCCCTCATGTTACGCTAAAAGAAAAATTATCAAATACGTATTTAAATACGTATACAAATTTTATTTTCTTCAACAATTTCACAAGGAACTAAAACAAGTTAACTGCCTTTTGGTCGTGCCAGTTCAATAATCCTAGGTGATGCCTTGGCTTTGAGTGCAGCCGGAGAGATTGCGAATGGATTTTCCCGAATATGAGCATTGTCAAATTCCTTTGGTTCTGCTAACTCCTTGATGCGTGCAGTAGCGCGCGCTTTCAGTGCATTCGGTGATATTGAGAAAGGATTCTCCTTGAGGTCTGATTCGGCTACACCTTTCTCGCGGGCAGTAGCCAACTCTTTAGTACGTTTTGTAGCTGGGGATATAATTTGTAAAACAATAATTGTTTTAATTTTATAAACAATGTTTTGAGGAAATCAAAGTACCTTTATGCGTTAAAGCAGCAGGATTAACCGGTATGGGCAAACTTTGAATAATCGCAGACTCATCAAACATTTTTGGTTGCGCGATTTTCAGTATTCGTTCCGTGGGCTTGTAAAATTTCATTCCTGGAGTAAGCAACCAAGGTTCTTTTGTTGGTTCTTCACGGGTTTTCGGTAGTGCCAGCAGTTTAATTCGGCCCATCTCTTCAGGTTTCTTTTTTTTAACTGGCTGTAAAATATAAAACAAATTTGTGGGCATACAAATTTAGGAATACAATTAATTTTTGTAATAAAGGAATTCCTATGCATGTTACTAGTTTAGGCTGTTTGGGTTCTTTTTTAGGCTTCGCCAATTTTTGAAGATATTTCGTGTGATTCTTCCATTCAGTGTCATCCCATTTATGTATTGGAATTCTGTAAAACAATTTTTATTTTTTTATTTTAAGTGTAATAAATTATTAATTAGTTCATATTTTACTTTTTCTGAGGCGGTTGTATATTACTCAAGCGACTATACACAGAAAACAGGCTTAGACGTATTAATCGATTTATCCCCAATATTCTTAAAGGTTCAAAAAAATCCTTCACTCTATTCTTGAACAAAAGCAGCTTTCTGCGCCAACACGCATACAAATAATTACGATTACCAAAAATAAATGTAATTCTTCTATCTTACCGCACACCCGGCAGGGCTAATTGTTCAGTGCGTGTTCGCATGGGTGTTTCTCGCACAAATTCAATTGGCTTTTTATATTTACATGGACATTTTGGTATGAATTCTCCCCTCAAGTGCCTTGTCCGCTGAGCCATCCGCAGTATTCGCTTGCGTTTCGTGAACATATTTTTGTGGCGCTCCACTAGTCGTTGCCAACTCTTGCTTATACCCGGCAAAAAACAAGTTATGTTTTCGGGCAGTTTATCAAATGTAGGACAACATTTTGTACTCTTTGAAACCTTATGCATCTTGGTTTTTTTATTTGAAGTATTTTTATATTTTTTGCACTAAAGATTTTGTTTCGTGTTTCACAACTTATTTATGTATGTATTTTGAAAAAAGAAACCAAAAATTCTATTGTAGACTTTCAAGAGCATTGAAACTGAAACAAGTGAAAAAGTGACTCAAGTGAAACTAATTTCGTCCACTGAGTCTGAGTCAAAGTGCATTTTTTTTTGCAATAGTAGTGAGTTAATTTGTCTTGTGCAGAAATCAAATTCCATAATTACAGTCGGTAATTAGTCAGTGCATTTCAAATCTTTGTGATACGATGAAAAATGCATTGGCCCTTTGCCAGTAGGCATATATGTACATGGAATAAGAACTCTCATTTAACTTAGGTATAACTTTTTATTAAATAAAAATCTTAACTTAAAATTATTTTATATCGCCTGCAATAATTTGCACTTTAATTAAAAGCAAAAAAAAAAACAATCAACTCCGATATAGACCAGTATCATAGGTCCTCGGCTTAGCTAGGGCGCGTTCAGAAATGCATCAAGCCAGCATCAAGCATCAGTCTGCTTTACTTCTAAACTATAACTGATGGAAATGCCTCATTTACGCAACTAAGTTCCAATTAGGCAATTAACCGTGGTTGCGCATATTGGACATTTCCATCAATTATAGTTTAGAAATAAATGCGTCTGATGCTTTGGCTTGATGCATTTCTGAACACACCCTAGGAATTCCCTGGGCTCTGCTAGCTCCATTATTCTTTGCGAAACCTTAGCTTTTAGTGCACTGGGATTTATATTGAATGGAACTTCCTTAACTTCTGGTTTGTGGTGATAAATTGGTGGCGAGGCTTATTCTTTAATACGTTCAGTGGCTGAAAGAATAGAGGGTGTTAGTTTTTATTCTATTTTAATTTTTCCATAATTGCAAGCAAAGTATTACATTTCGAGTTTTATAATTGGTAGTTTTTCTGACATATACGGGTCTCATATGTAGCGAAGCGCGTTCGCGGTAGGATCCTGAAAATTTAACGGTTACCCTATAAACTGAACGGCCACAGTTTAAGTTATTCATATTTCTTAAAGTCCAATTAGTTATACTACTTAGGTATAAGTTATTTATTCAAGGCAGTTAGCAACCAAGAAATTTAACAAAGCTTTTGCAATTCAATAGTAAACAATTTTTTTTTAACAGTTTTCGATTACTTTTTAAATTACTTGGAGGAAATCCTTTGAATTGAATTGAAAAAATCAATTACATTTTCAATTTCTTTCAAAGGAATTGGAGAACGAGAGAGCACGTAATTTATTCCAATTACAATATGAAAATCCTTGTAATGGAATTAAAAAAATAAAACAATTACATGTGAAATTACTTCCAAGGAATTGAGAAAGTAATCAATTCCTTTGCTGTGAACTGAAAGAATTTATTGAATTAAGGAATGTAATTGGATTTACCCAGCTCTGCCTACACTTAATATTGATCAACGAAAAATCACTAAATTAATAATACTTTTTTGGTCCCCTGTTGTTGTTGTTGTTGTTTTTGTTGTTGCAGCGGCTTCTCTTTCAACCAAAACTTTCGCGATCAACAGGTATAAACTGAAAATTTCAAACACAATTCATTATCGCTCAATGACAGCTTTGTCTACTCGCCCTTGACCTAAAATAAGTGAATTGAATAATTTAAAAGTAAGCAGCTACTTAAACCTATACTGTTCTTAAGGCGAATTAAAATGCAGAGAAGGTATTAAGTGTTCGCGATGCAAAGAACTTGCACAAGCTGGTAAAAGCGAACACTCTTAATGCATATTTAAGTTGCGCTCGCCAATCCATTCGCTTCGCCAAACCGTACGCTTCGCCAAATTCATTCGCATCGCAAGTGATAATACCGCCCTAGACCTTTATCGCCTATTGTTTATTGGTAATAAATAAACTTTCCAAAATCATATACATATGTACATATGTATTAATACAACTGATTTTATTTCATCTTAATTTTTTCGTCAAATAAGCAAAGTTCGTGACATACATATACTATATGCATGTATGTATGGATGTGCGTATATGGCATGCCAAACATACATACATACATATGAAGCGAGCTTTTCTATAAATTTAGTTATATTTTTTGTCACATGCAATTTGATAAGAGTACAATTTTATAAATATGTATACATAATATAGACAAAACAAATAATACATTAGGATTTATATAAGATGGTGTCTGCATGGTTCACAAAAAATAGCTGTGGTTCATAATCAAAAGGCCAGCAAATAAATATTAAACAATTAAGTTACATAGGTATGTTTGTCTAATTGGATCTTAAAATTTTAACTATATATTTTATGCTTGTATATTTGAATTAACATAAGACTTGACCACGATCCAAGGCTTAAAATATTCCGCGGGTTTTTTTTCAATGGGAAGTTGCATCAAACATACTGCATTTAACAAAGGCTTTACATAAAATGTTTACGAAAAGTATATACTCGCCAAATTTATACTTAGTATCTACTAAAATCAATTTTTGGGGTAAATTCTTCATAACGTGGGTGTTTGACGAACTTTTTAGCCTGCTTGAATGACCGTCTTTCACTTTCACTGAAAGCAGACATTTACCGTTGTTTTTAAGCTTTGCTTTAATGTGTTACATATTTTTAAAATTTTCTTTCGGTTGTCTAGTGGATGTTGGCAATGACAGCTCTTGTATAGTCTTGTGTGGTCGACTGGCCACCCAAATCCTTGGTTCGTACTTTACCATCTTTTAGGACCTTGTTGACGGCGTTGGTTATCAGTTCACTGTAGGTTGGCAAGTTTACATGACGCAACATTTTTGCGCCGCAGAGCAGCATAGCAGTAGGATTTGCCACATTTTTGCCGACAGCTTCTGCAAAAGTATGACGTGCACCCTAGAATATATGGAGTTTAATAAAACACGAGTTTTAGTAGTAAATTTAGCATCATACCGGCTCGAATACGACAGTTTCAGCAGAATATGATGCGCCAGCCACCACTCCGGCACCTCCAACCAAGCCAGAACCGATATTGTCAAGAATATTACCATACAGGTTAGGAGTAACCATAACGTCGAACTGAAAGTTTACAAGCATATGATAAATATATGATAAATAATCTCAGAATGATTGCTACCTGGTTTGGTCTTTGAACCATTTGCATAGTGGTATTGTCGACAATCATTTTTTCGAATTGTATACGTGGGTATAATTTGGCCATTTGTTCGCACGACTTAAGGAAAAGACCATCTCCCAACTTCATGATGTTGGCCTTGTGCACAGCGGTTACCTTCTTGCGGTTATTTTTGGTTGCATAATCGAAGGCGAATTTAGCAATGCGTATCGACTTTTTGGAAGTAATGATTTTTAAACATTCAACAATGCCTTTCACAGACTCATGCTCAAGTGCCGAATATTCGCCTTCAGTTTGCTCACGAATTATGACTGTATCGATGTTCTGATGGCGGGTTTTTACATTTGGCAAACTACGAACGTGTACTACATTCGCATACAGATCCAGTTGTCTACGCAATTTCATATTTAGCGTTTCAAGTTCACCAGCAACGCTATAATCCGGTGTAGCCAAAATTCCCTGAAAGTTCAAAAGAATTTGTAAACACATACATAAAAACAACTCGAATCTTTTTGTTATCCTTACTTTTATGCACACTTTATTTTTCTGAATAGAACCGACTACATCTTCCAGTTTGGCACTCAAAACTGGGTTAACCTCTGAAAGAAAATAGTTTTCAAAGTCCACTGGTGCGTTTGCAGCCTTGATATTAATAGTAAAAACGAGTATTTTTTAATAAATGTCCATATATACATACAAGCAAATTGAATTTTTTAACTATCAATACCTTGAAAACTTCCTGGAGGGCATAAACCAATTCAGGGCCCACACCGTCGCCTGGGATAAGCGTACAGGTAACGCGGCTGCCAAGAGCGCCAGCATCCTGTTGGGCATTACAGTTAGAATAAAGAAGCGTGTATCAGACAATTACTTACCTGATTTACCGCTGATGTGGTGTGAATTGAGCGGACAGCCGATGCCTGAACAATATAGTGAGATTAGATTTTATTTAATAATATTTTCAACCCAAGGATTATAACCTCAAATTGGAATGAAACATTTGCACTACGACGACGTTAGTGTTTATGTAAGAATTCACGAATGGTACCCAATGGGCTTTGCAGATACGTTGCCTGAAGGCGACTCACCTGCATTAAAGTACGGCCGAAGGTTCTTGCCAACATCGCCATGTTTTTGTTTATAAGCGTCACTAGTTGAAAAAACCTTGCAAAACAAAGACTCCGCTGCGCTCCAGAAATAAATTTGTAGATTCGAACGATCTGCAAATCGATTCGCACACTTCCAATGGGAATATTCCACTCTCGGCCGAAAATGACAGCTGGCTGTCAGTCGAAGGAACAGATGACTGAAGGGCTGCCAAGATTTCTCAAGACTTTCACCCCAATTAGATTTACAAATTTTAATACATAAAATTATTTAAACCGAAATTGATTTCCTTTCAACAATTTTCAATGAAACTATGAAATATATATTCAGCCATGGCGCCAGGGTATGATTCCACCATGATATTTAGCCTTATCCTGAGATTCGCCCAAAAAAAAACTTAAACTGAAAATTTGTTATCCGCCCGTAGTAAATACATGGAAACCAAAAGTGAAAAGTTGTGACTGCTACTGATGATTGAACAACCGGCCCTTAATGGTGATGGAAATGTCCAAAACCAGCAAGAATTTGCAATTACAAAAAACATATGATTGTGGCACAGGTTGCATTTTTGTCGACAATAATTTTAATAAATAAGTCCGTCAAATTTAAAAAATTTTAAGCTCGAGCTATTTTTTTTATGAAAAAAAGGAATTAAAGACTTGTTTTTATAATTAATTTAGCTAGTTCCAAAGATTTTAACTGTACTCGGCTGAGAAAAAATTGTATTGGCAATCGGAAAGCAATTGCAACCAGAGTAGATTTAAGAAACCCGATAACCAGTACGATAAAAAACATTTAAATGTATGTTAAAGAAATTCAGAACAAAACGAAATTTACATGTATACCCTGTTTTTTGTCGATCTGAAAGAATTTTAAAAATTCTATAAAAATTCATTATGTTTGAAATGCAACCGTGGACACCAGCTGGCATTGAAACTCAAGCCCGGTAGAATACATCTGTATTCGTCTCATCTACTTGAAACTTGCAAATTCCTGCAAATTTGCGTTCGTGCAGAAATTTGCAAGTTTCTCAACATGAGAGAGAATTGTTGCTTGCTCTCTGTAAATGAGTGTTGGACATGAACCAACGACTACAGATCACCTAATCAGCCATCGTTGTATTTGTAATCGATTTTGAGAAACAAGTTTTCGTAGCGTTTTTGACGTTTTTCGGTTTTGTTTACAACGTCTTCTACCTCTTCGTAGTGATTTTTTAGTGATTGAATGTGTTTTCTGCGGCGATTTTAATTATAAATTTTGGTTTATTACATATTTATGATATAAAATGAAGTGATGTGTGATTGGAACAAGTTTGTGCGTATGTTTGGTTTGCCAAAGGGCGTAAATTTGCGTGAAAAGTGGGTGCACGTTTGTGGCCAGAACGTTGGCATTGAAAAATCGACCCATGGTAATGATATGCGATTGTAAAACACTTTCAATCATGAAAACCATATTTTATGAACTTTTTTTGCGAATTGTCATCAAGTTTCATTTTGTATATTTTATAATAAATACCAATTTAATCGCACTCAATCACCGCGCCTTTTTCGTTTTCTTTGTTTGTTTTCATTCTTAGGCAGATGTCAAAAACGCTCAGAAATATACTTTTTTCTTGCTTCTTTGATTAGGTGATCTTGTATTTTTGGTTCATGAGTGTTGGATAATTCTTGCTGGATTTTCGACGAACACACCTATTGTTAATTTTTTACTTCTTTGCCGACATTTATATTTTGGATCAGCTGTTATCTGTTATTGTTTCAGCGCTTATCAAATGACAATTGACTTTCAGATTTCTAACTTTTATAGAAATAAAATAGTTTATAAACAATAAAAGCTTTTTTTTCAAAATTCTCGTTTTAATTCATGGTCTAAAGTTTAAATATCAGCAATCGCCTAAATTCTTAGTGGAAAATCATATTTCTGAATGGCTTTAAGAATCGGATTGCCTCTGCGTAAAAACTACGCGAAATTGGTCTTTGGTGACATTTCTCCACTTCAATCGATTCGTTTTTTATCTTCGAGGTGAGCCGGAGAGCAAATATTAGACTTATGACTTATGACGACCAATCAGTAGTTCTTAATTTGAATTCGAACCGAGTGGTACTTAATGTTACTATATATTTAATTTTCAACTTTTAGCAAGAGTTCAGTTCCAAAAATGCGTTTTGTACAATTTTTGCGTAAAAATGATGATCGTAGCCGTCTTGGTGTGGTGTCTGACGACGGTAGCAAATTGGTTGAATTATCGGGTGGAGCATGTATTTCCAATGACATGGTTTCGTTTATATCCCAAAACATTTCAATGGAGGAAATTCAACGTAAACTGAACGGTCTTCAAACTGAAGAAATGACAGATTCACACATTCTTCTGCCGCCTTTAGTAAATCCCCAAAAGATCATTTGCATAGGATTAAATTTTAAAGACCATTGTGAAGAACAAAACAAGCCAGCTCCAACGGAGCCCATGTTTTTCAGCAAATTTAATACTGCACTGACCGGACCCACGGGAGATGTGATCGCACATAAAATTACTACAGTAAGTATACTTATACTTATATATATTCACATATGCTTATACTTATACATATACACATATATATGTGTATATATATATATATATCTTTTTTTTATTTTTTATTTATTTATTATATATACCACAATATGCACTTATAAACTTGTATGTACATATGTTCATATATGTGTCGAATGACGAGTTTCAGATAAGGCATAGATAGGAATACCTAAGGTTATTCTGCAAATTCTATATTTTTGCCATTACATTCTCACTTATAATACGTTTATTATAAAAATGATTTGTCTTTACTTTTAGAAAATGGACTGGGAAGTTGAGTTGGGTGTTGTCATCGGAAAAGAAGGCAAAAAAGTACCGAAAGAGCAAGCTATGGACTATGTTTTTGGCTATACTATAGCTCAGGATATATCGGCCAGAGATTGGCAAAAATCTCGTAACGGTGGACAGTTTTTGATCGGTAAATCTATGGATACATTCCTTCCCCTGGGCCCAGCCATTGTGCATAAAAGTTTAATCAAAGATGTTTATGACCTTAAAATGCGCACTCTTATCAACGGTGTAGAAAAGCAGAACCATTTCACTGGAGATATGATTTTCAAAATTGACGACGTCATACATAGATTATCACAGAGCATCACGCTGAAGCCTGGTGATCTCATTTTAACCGGTACACCCAAGGGTGTTGGAATGTACCGTAATCCACCGGAGTATTTAAAAGTCGGTGACGTAATTGAAACCGAAATTCAATGCTTGGGTAGAATGGTCAACAAAGTTGTCGCCGATTCTTAACGATGATTCCCAATGTAAATTGTTTTGCTTTTAAAGTCAAGCTTTGCATTTAAATTGTACGTAAAATTGTGATTGGTTAAATGTTTGTGTAATTAAATCATTGAAACAGTAACTTTTGCAACTATTAAAAAATAAAGAAAATTGTGCATATATGTACATTCATGTCCAAGGACAGTAATCATCATATCCTATACTGTTTGAAGCACCAACAAGCAAAAAGAAGCTATCGATGTATCTATAACTTTTTCGATAGATATACATACACATGTATTAGTTGCACTTACATACGTACGTACATACATAGTATGTATGCAACAAATATATTCCGCTTAAAAGTTATTTGGTTTTTGAAGCAAACAAATTTAAAGTTGAATTAACTAGTTTATTTTAAGATTGAGCGGTTTGTCAATCACAACAATAACCTTAATAATGGGCCAACTTAGTCTTTGCCTCTTTCGTATTTCAAACCTTAAAAGTTTTGCTTTTTGTTGCAAAGAACTCATCTCGCTTATGATATGGTGCATAGGGATCATCAATGTAGTGTTTTGGACGTCGCCAAAAACTAGTAACCATTTTGTCTAGCATATAACTCTGCGTCGCGTTAGTGAAAACATGTTGACGCAGTCTCCTTCGCAGCTCCTTCGATTTCTTGAACATTTTTTTATGGCGGCCTGTATGAGTGCGAATCCATATGCCCCAATCTAGGCGCTTGAAGCGCTTGATAACCGCCTTCACGGACTTACGTTTCCCTTTATTTAGGGAGAACTTTGTTAAGGAACGTGATTGTTGCTGTTGAAGCGCAGCAAAACTTGGCACGATACTAGGCTGAAGTCGCTGACCTATAGAAGCTGAGATTTTGTTGAGCAGCGGCAAGTTAAACAATGTTAATGGATTACAAGTTTGGTAAGTAACAGCACGGCGGGTTGTAGCGAAAACGGAACTGGTATTGGTAAGCATCGAAGCTGTGCGAACCGCTAAAAATGGTTAGTTATATTTAGGTATTTGTTTATATTAGTATATTATTATGCTTACCACTAGTAAGAAATGACCGGAGCATGATTGGATTTAATTTATTTAAAAATCAAAATAATCACGAATTTGCCTCACCTTGATTCCATAACCTGAGCGAGAATAACCCCAAATTCCCATATGATTTTGACGTTTATACACTGCTTTGCCGACTTTGTTAGTGATTTTCCTTGACTTTTCATTTATCCAATTTTGTGATCTGTCATCTATTCTCTCTGTGCAAAATATTGGCTCATTTTGGAGCAGGGCAGAAAAAAGTTTTTGGTTTTGTCTAGATTGAGGGAGGACGTTAAGCGCCGGCTCTTAAGCGAATTGGAATTGTGACCACGATATTAAGTATTCCAAATTTTTAACAAAAATGTATCGTTTGGCATTGAAAAGGCAATGCAGGGATGTCGTACAGGTGAGTGACGTACAAAAATATATATTTGGCTATCATGCCGTCATCACATCGGTGCGCGAGGCACCACCATCACTGTCACTTAAAAAACGCACAGCAAATGATCGCCTCTTTCCCCACCACCCAATATAGAAAGGCAGATTGTTATGTCATCTATAAATGCAACCTTCAATAACTGCAGAAAATTATCCAGAAAAGAAATGTAATTTGATAAAATTGATTCCATTGTGATCCATATTGCTTCTGGAGTTCACTCATGCAATATATACTTTGATGTCATAACAAATAGTCTTACTCCTAACATGTACGTTTGGCTTCCTCCTTCTTCAACAAAGTACACACAACATTGTTTACTGTAGACCCTTTTACTAACATTGTTCCATTTTATACACTAATAAAAAAGAGAAAATAAATTACATTTATTATTGTTAATTTTAGATTACATTGAGCCAGTACAGCCGCAAAAATTATAGCAATGGTTTGCCCCCGAACGTACGACAAGCTGGGTTCGGCAAAGTTTTGGTATTTCTGTCGCCCCTAGTTGCTGCCGGAGGAGTTATTGGATATGCGAAGTATGTTATTTGTTTTAATATCAAATACTATTTTACAAAATAATCTGTTTAGATATGATCCGAAATTTCGAAAACAAGTTGAACAAAACGTTCCTGGTGCAGAATACGTTCTCAAAGTAGCTTTAGACTCCCAAGACCCAATTGCTGACATCAACAAACAATTTGATGGAGTGAGAAAACAATTTGATAATGTCTCCAAAACGGTGGAAAGTGCCACATCTACTGTGACTGGCTGGTTCGGCGGAGCAGAAAAACCATCTACAAAGCGTAAGTTTTTAATAATTGAATTGTGAGAGAGAATTTTTATTTTCGGTTATTTCCACAGAATCTGATGTCCAGCCGAAAACATCTTCATCGCCAAAGCCTGTAAGATATCCATATACATATATAGATATAAAAGTACAATTTGTCAGCCGTTTCTTAACACGTATAGTTTTTTTTTGATATATTTAAAACAAAAGGTTCCTGCTAGTACTGTTAAAGAAGCGCCTCCTGCGTCCAAGCCTGCTACTGCCAAACCAAGTGAACCCGTCAAAATTCAAAAACAACCCGAACCTTTGCCCCGAGATGTAACAGATTTGGAAAGTGCTGTGGAAGTAGCTGCTGCATTGGCAGTAAAAGAGTACAACAAAGCAATTGGGATCCTAAAGGGGTATTTTTTTGGCTATATTTTGAATGCCTATATTAATAATAATTCTCCCTTTAAAGCTTCAACAATGATGTACGTAAAGTTGTAGATGATGCCATTGAAAATGTTGACACATCAATTTGGACTTCCTTGAGGAATAGAACTAGTGCACGCGACACCTCCGTTGCCACGGCGGAAAAATCGGCTCGTGAAGCAATTGATAAAATCGGTAAACAAGCATTAAAACAACCAAATTTCAAATAAATATTTTAATAATTTTGTACTATTTCGTATGTTCTTCCTTATAGAAAAATGTGAAATCGCTCTGAGCAAAGCTGCAACCTCAGAAAATCACGAGCAAATAGTGACCATTCGTAAAAAAATCAAATCGTTGCTGGAGCACATCAATCATGTTAAAGACGAGCTTTACCAACATAAGGACCTTGCTACTATGTCCGAAAAGTATTGGAGGAATGTAAGCTATTATTGATCATAACGCGCTTTTAATTCGATTGGTATTATTTATTTAAAGGTTGAGAAAGCCCGTAACTATTTTGTCGAAGAGATTGAATCTATCTTTCCTGGGCTTAATTTGTCGGATCAAAAGCTGAATCTTTCCAAAGAAGATTTGGATTTATTCATCATGCATGCTTATTCGCATGTTTTGGCCTATCAAAAAGAACTCCAACGCTTGCAAACAGACGGTGAGTTGAGGCTCAAGCGTGCAGTTGAAGCATTCCGCGGCGACAGTGACTCGGAAGCGGTAAAAGCTCAACTGGACTACCACCTGGAGGCAGAAAAGCGCAAATTAGCTATTGAGAACCAGAAAAAAATTTTCCAAATTAGAGCTGATTCTGAAAAGCAATTGCGTCAACAATTAAAAAGGCAAGCTGAAGCGCATATAGATCATTTGAACGATGCTTTAGCCATGAAGGAGAGTGAAATGAAGCGCAGCTTCACCCGCGAATTGGAAGATAAATTAGCAACCGAGAAAGCAAATTACAAGCTACAATTGGCGGCGATGGTTGGTAAAATGCGTGGCATGGATGCTGCTTTGCAAGGTAAGTACAGTGTGTTTTTTTACACTGAATAACATTTTAAAAATCTGTTATGAATTTCTTTATAAATGCTACTTTTAAGAAATTGATGATGAGCTTAAAGGTATAAAAAGTTTTCTAAAACCAATATTTTTTTATCAATTTAAAAATTTGTATGTTTAATATTAATTAATATGTATGTAAATTGCAGCGCGCGCTGCAGCTGAGCGTTCGGCTCACCAAGCGCAAGCACTTTGGGCCGCATGTCAGTCCTTGTGGGCTACAGTTAGCACTGGTGAACCAGGTGAACATTGGAGAAATAAGTTGCGTCCGCTTAAGAGCGAAATAAAGGCGATTTCCAAGGTTGCCGGTAAGTATCGCATTTCTAATCAAACCCTGGGCATTTATTACAAATTGTTTTTCTCTTACAGAGGGTGACGAACTTGTTTCTGTTGTGATTCGAAATTTGCCATCTACCGCTAGCGAGCGTGGCGTGTTCACTGAGGATGCCCTGCGTGAACGCTTTATTAATGTAGAGCGTGTTGCACGTAAATTAGCGCTTGTTCCCGAGGGTGGTGCCAGTCTCCCGATATATTTCCTTTCTTACCTGCAGTCGCTGTTCATATTGAAACCCGATGATCCCATTTCGCAAGATGAGTTACAAAACAAACCATTTGATTACAGCAAATTGGATACATACGATATTTTGAACCGAGCTCGGTAAATACATTTAAGATGAAAACGTTTATGCTAAACATCAAAAATCTATTCACAATTACAGGTACTTTGTTGACCGCGGAGATCTTCTACAAGCCTTAAAGTATATGAACCTATTGCAAGGAGGACCACGTCGTGTTGCATGCGATTGGTTGAATGAGACACGTCTGACGTTAGAAACTAAACAAGCTGCCAATACACTAATGGCCCACGCTGCTGCAAGCGGCCTCTTGTATTTGTGAATTAACTACTTAAACCAAGGAAAACGATTTAAAATTATAGTGATTGTAATCATGGATTTACATTTGCAACGATGCTACGGAATTTACATTTTACTAAATCGGCAATTTGCATCAAGGCTTTTTAATTGTTTGATTTTTCCGTTTAATATTAATTGAAAATTACATTAATTTATCTTTGTTGATTTAGTTGTGCATTCCGAATGTAAAGAATGGAAATAATAGTTGCAATGTTGGTAAAGAAATAAACAAACAAAAATTGTAATAGTATGACAGAAAAAGTTCAAATTCATTATTGATACTCTTGCGGGCTTTTTCCAAGTTGACGTTGCCGACACGAATAATATTGGCCCTGCCGTGTCGGGTAATGTAGTACACAATACCTATTTAGAGTTGAGGCTCGCCTTCTAGAAGTTAAAAGCTTCATGCTTCATGACATCTAGCACTATTAATTTTTATCGCATAAAATAACAATTGTTTACTTCGTCTAATTGCTAGTATTTATTAAATTTCGGACAACGATAACTAAAGTTGTTTGTCAAGTGAAACGTTTTGTTAATTCTT